GGGTGGTAGTAGGGAAATATTTAGGAATTGCCGAAAATTCACTAAAGTAAAGAGAGCTTGAATTTCAAGATAAGGATTCAGATTCTTTGAACTTGAAAAGAAATCTTAATAATAGATTAGGACATTAAAATCTTCAATTCCCTATGGAGAGCGTAGTAACCCCTTGCTTTTGATTCTAACAATGATTGAATAGAAAAGAATTACTCATGCTTTCTATTTTTAAGAATGAGTAATTCTTCCCTGTTAGCAGGTAACGGGAATCGAACCCGTATCATTGGCTTGGAAGGCTAAGCGTTATAGTCGATTTGAAAAAAAAAACATCTTTCAAAATCTCTACTACAGAACCGAACGTGAAACTTTGATTACAACATTATAATGAATTCATATGAATGATTATTTGTTGAATTTATATTCCTAGAATATTCTGAGTTTTCTTAAATTTACTGGTAGGCTAAGAGCTAGTGAATAATCAGTTTAAGTAAACTTCATTCCGTTTGGAATATACAAACCAAAAGTCAATCCTAATCACCCATTAGATATGTTCTAAAGTTCTCCATATATTGACTACAAAAATTCAATGTTTTATAAGTCATAAGAGTGATCAAAAAAAATCATACCATGTATGTTTCATAACATATAGAATAATATTGAAATATGAGTAGAATGTATTTAAACGTTCAAACGGATTTTACTGGGGCAAATTCCTTGGACTTCAGTCGAGAGTTTTGTCTTCAGATTCCAGACCAGGATTTACAAGGCCTCGCTTTCAAAGAATTATGGTAAGATGCGTGCACTTCAGACAAGACTGGGACAAAGTTTACACGCCAGATTGTTAGTCGTTCGACGTGTCACTATGGACAACTCTTCGACGAGAGGAAAAATGGAATTAGTTCGAACACTGAAGTTCGATGGCCAAACTTGGACGGGCATTGAAACCAAGGCGACCTGTGAGCTTGCTATCATTTGGACTATTTTTCCTAGTATTATACTAATGTTCATTGCAATACCATCATTTGCTCTATTATATTCCATGGATGAGGTAGTAGATCCTGCAATTACTATCAAAGTGATTGGACATCAATGGTATTGGACTTATGAGTATTCAGATTATAATACTTCTGATGAACAATCACTTACTTTTGATWGTTATATGATTCCAGAGGATGATCTAGAATTGGGTCAATTACGTTTATTAGAAGTAGATAATCGAGTGGTTGTACCAGCCAAAACTCATTTACGTATGATTATAACATCTGTTGATGTACTTCACAGTTGGGCAATACCTTCCTTAGGTGTCAAATGTGATGCCGTACCTGGTCATTTAAATCAGACTTCCATCTTTATCAAACGAGGAGGAGTTTACTATGGTCAATGTAGTGAACTTTGTGGTACCAATCATGCCTTTATGCCTATTGTAGTGGAAGCTCCTCCTCCTCCTCCTCCTCCTCTTCTTCCTCCTCCTCCTCCTCCTTCCCCCTCCTCCTCCTCCCTCCTCCTCCTTCCTGCTCCTCTCCTCCTCCTCCTTCCTGCTCCTCCTCCTCCTTCCTCCTCCTTCCTCCTCCTCCTCCTCCTCCTTCCTGCTGCTCCTCACCCCCTCCTCCGCCGCCTTCCTCTTCCTCCTCTTCCTCCTCCTCCTCCTCCTCCTCCTCCTCCTTCCTCTTCCTCCTCCTCCTCCTTCCTCTTCCTCCTCCTCCTCCTCCTCCTCTTCTTTGGATGAGGTAGTAGATCCTGCAATTACTATCAAAGTGATTGGACATCAATGGTATTGGACTTGTGAGTATTCAGATTATAATACTTCTGATGAACAATCACTTACTTTTGATTGTTATATGATTCCAGAGGTCTTCCTCTTCTTCCTCCTCCGTCCCTCCTCTTCCTCTTCTTCCTCTTCCTCTTCTTCCTCTTCCTCTTCTTCCTCCTCCTCCTCCTCCTTCATG